GAAGATCCCTAGACACGCTAACGACTTGCGGTAGAACTTTCTGGAACACTTAACTTCGTTAATTAGCCTAAGAATTCATCCAGACCCACGGTAATTGGTGGTTCCTTTCCCAGTGTAAACGTTCAGTATCGGAGCCCTGGAGAAGGATGCGGACGTCATCTGTAATCTTCGTGATGCCCTCACGATTAAGCTGAGCTCTGTGTCTTATTTAACAGAGAGGCCCTTTGGGGCTGCATTGCATGCGAGCCCTCAAATGCACAAAGGACACCCTGCATCCTGCTCACTGCCCCCTGCTATGTGGACATGGGGAAGCCCCCTTATAAATCCTTCATTGTAGGATCTAGCCCTGACAGAATTCGGGGGAAGTGTATGTTTAATGAAGGAGCCCTGGTGGCACAACGGTTAAGTGCCACGGCTATTAACCAAAAGGTCAGCAGTTCGAATCCACTAGCTGCTCCTTGGAAACCCTATGGTGCACTTCTACTCTGTCCTATAGGGTGGTTATGAGTCGGAATCGACTTGCTGGCAACAGGTTTGCTATTTTTAACGAAGGAGCTCTGGTGGCAGACTGGTTAAGCAGTTGGCTGCTAACCGAAAGGGCGGCAGTTCGAACCCACCAGCTGCTCTGCCGGAGAAAGAGGTGGCAGTCTGCTTCCATTAAGATTAAAGCCTTGGAAACCCTATGCGGCAGTTCTACTCTGTCCTATAGGGTCTCTATGAGTCAGAACCAACTTGACAGCAATGGATTTTGATATGTTTAATGACTACCTCCTGGCTGTCAGTTTGTTGTACTCTGGTGGCTTGTACATTGCTGTGATGCTGGAAGCTATGCCTCCAGTATTTCAAATATCAGCAGGGTCACCCATGGTGGACAGGGTACAGCGGCACTTCCAGTCTAAGTCAGACTAGGAAGAAAGGCCTGGCAATCTTACTTCTGACAATCAGCCAATGAAAACCCTATGGATCACAACTGAACATTGTGGGACTCACTTGCTTTGGACATGTTTTCAGAAGGGATCAGTTGCTGGAGGAGGATGTCATGTTTGGTGAAGTAGAGGGCCAGCAAGGGCAAGGGAGATCCTTGGTGAGAAGGATTGGCACAGTAGCCACAAGGATGGACTCCAACATGCCTGGTGATTGTGAGGTTGGTGCAGGACCGGGCAACGTTTCCTTCTGTTTACATAAAGTCGCCATGAGCTGGAGCCGACCCAACAGTAGCTCTGTCTCTGTCTGTCTATGTTTAGTGAAGAATTACTGATGCTGATTCACTTTGAGTCGATGGGCCTTCATTTGACAGAGAAGAGTCCCCAAACGCTTTCTGGTCAACGTTTGCTTCCTTCCTGTCTGAAGAGAGCTTTATAAGAAAGAACTTGGGTAACAGTATTGAGATATAAATACAGGAATCTACACGTAATAACTGATAATCCCTGGAGATGCAGGAAGCAGATATTTCAAAAAACAAAGCAAAAAACGGCCGCAAGAGGTTTTAGAAAAATGAACATCTTTTTGGTGGCTATAGGTGTTTGTCAGCAGTTTGAATCCACCAGCAACTCCTTGGAAACCCTATGGGGCAGTTTTAGTCAGTCCTATAGGGTAGCTGTGAGTCAGAATTGACTCAACGGAAATGGTCTGGTTTTGGTTTGGGTTAGGTGTTTGGTGGCTACAGTTTGTGGAGGGAATTTCAGCGGTACTTAAGTCTTTCCTATTTTATCGCCTCCCTTTTTGGAAAGGATACCTCACGTGGAGAGTGTTAAGACTCCCATTTCAAAGCCCCTGCGGATTGGGGATTGGGTAAGCAGTCTTGAAAGGTAAGGCAACCATCCTTTGGAAGTGTGGCGTGCCCAAGAGAGAGAATGCATGATGAAGAGCTATTAGTGTGCACGCCTTGGGCATTGCTGAGATTCTGCCTTCTGGAAGGGCGTGGCGGCAACAGCTCAGCTCTGCTCCATGGGACCTGTTATGGAGGGAATTGTGTTCCCCCAAAATGTGTGTTGGAATCCTAACCCCGGTACCGGTGGGTGTAATCCCGTATAGAATAGGGTTTTCTTTGTTATATTAATGAGGCCTGTCTTAGTTATCTAGAGCTGCTGTGATCACAGAAATACCACAAGTTGAGTGGCTTTAACAAACAGAAATTTACTTTCCCACAGTTTAGGAGACTGGAAGTTTGAATTCAGGGCGCCAGCTCTAGGGGAAGGCTTTCCCTTTCTGTTGGCTCTACAGGAAGGTCATTCTTTCTCCAGCTTCTGCTTCGTTTTTCCTTGGAGATTTCCACGTGTCTTGGCAACTGTTACCCCGTTTCTCCTGGGTGTGCACAGTCTGTACCCTGCTCCTAGGGAAAGATACCTGATAAGCAAGAGACGACAATCCATGAACCAGAAGCCAAACTAGAGATTTCAACAATTCTAAAGATGGGGAAATATTTATGAGGAACAACGAAATTAATTCGCTACAGAATATGGTAAAAAATTTTCAAGTGGCCAAATATACAAATACCAACTTCCTCTGCTCCCCAAAGATATCTTTGATTACTGAAATCCGCGTTTCAGCTCATATACGCATTTCAAACCCAGACTTTTCTCTATAGAGGAAATACGAACAGCCGTGGGCTGATTCGAAACACAAGCGGGAACCACTGAACCCCACGGTCCAGAGTTGGAGCGCTCTGGGTTCCCGCTCGGAAGCCCTCCCCGCGCACCCGAAGGTCCCGAAACCGGAAGCGGAAGTGTGCGTCCTCCGTTGGTGGTCGCGGTGGCGGCCGCCCCACACCGGTGTGAAGTCGGTGTGGCTCTGTCCCCAGTCGGCCTGTTTCACTAGCGGGTGACCCGCAGCTCCTGTGCGGCGCTTTACAAAAGCAATAGTCTTGGAGAAATTAAATAGCTTCCCGCGGACAAATACCGAGTAAGTGGCAGTGTGGTCTCTACACATATGCCTATTTTGGATATGTCATGTAAGTGGGATCCTACAGTATTTGTCCTTCTGTCTGACTTATTCCACTTAGCATAGTGTTTTCCACTTTCATGCCGTAGCATTTATGAAAACCATTTCTTTTTATGACTGAATGATAGTCCATTTTCTTTATCCATGCATCTGTTGTTAGACATCCTCCCACTTATTGGCTGTTACGAATAGTGCCGCAGTGAACATTGGTGTAAAAATACCTATTTGCGTCCCTGCTTTCAAGCCGTTTGGGTATATCCCTGTTGTTGTTGGTAGGCGCCGTTCAGGCAATTTTAGACTCAGCGACACCATGTGACAGAGTAGAACGGTGTCATAGGGTTTTCTTGGATGTAAGCTTTACGGAAGTGGATTGCCAGGTCTTTCTCCCGCAGAGCCGCCGGGTGGGTTCCAACAGCCAGCCATTTGGTTAGCAGCCGAGTGCTTAACCATTTGCGCCACCGGCGCTCCTAGAAATGGACATTTCTGGATCACATGGTGATTTTTATGTTTAACATTTTGAAAAACCGCCCATCTTTTCCACAGAGGCTGCACCGTTTTACAATCCCACGAGCAATTCTCCACATTCTCTCCAACTCTTGTGTTTTTCTGATTGAGGTGGTGTCTCAGGTGGTTTAGATTTGCATTTCCCTAACGACTAATGGCATCGAGCATCTTTTCTTGTGCTCCAGTGACCATTTGTATATCATCTTTGATGAAGTATCTAAGTTTTTTGCCCATTTTTAAAATGGTTTGTGTGTTGTCGAGTGGTAGGAGTTCTTTATATATTCTGGATACTAAGCTCTTAAGATATCTGTGATCCCCAGATATAGTAAAACTTGGGAAAGTCCGAACCTGTCTAAGGTGAAAACCTGTCAGAGAAGGAGAACTCGAATGTTTTCCTCTAAAATGAGTGACAGAAAAGTGGTAAGTCTGCACCGTGGTGTCAAAGCTGGAAAATGTGCGAGACCCAGAAAAACAAGGCAGTCCCGTCGAGTTCTGGCTCTCGCAGGTTTCTCTGTATTTTCTCCCATTGTCTAGGTTTCTCTTCACTTTGTTGACAAAGTCCTTTGAGGCACAAAATTTTTTATCTGTTTTGTATTTTATTGCTCATGCTCTTGGTATCATAGCTAAGAATCCATTGTTGAAAACTAGTGTGTGGAGAAAATAAGTGTTCTTATTTTTTTAAATTGTAAAAATATCGCTTGTGTCAAAAAGTTCAAAAATGCATAGAGTAAAAATGATCATTAAACACCATTTGTAATCTCAACATCGTTAGAAAAATGTGGTGCCTTTTATTTTTCCATTTCCTTCCCTAGAGATAGATGTCCTAAAAGTATTCCCTTTCTGGATTGGAGTTCCACTTGGAGACGTGACTGGTAGTGTCACTTCATGTGAAATTCAAATCTTCATTTGAAACTACTGAATTTTCCTAGTTCAGTATCTAAGAATTGCCCCTCACCTAACACCACAATATCAGTTTCCATTTGGTAAAGGCCTAATCCGTGCCAAAACTGTTCCTTTAGCTTGAAGCTTCAGAAGAATTAAAGAATTAAAAAAAAAGAAAGAAACCTCAAGGGGAAGAAAGAAATGTTAATTGCAAAAGCAACCTCAAGGGGAAGAAAGAAATGTTAATTGCAAAAGCAACAGGAAAAATACCCACCGTGTATTACAATGCTACAAATGGACTGAAAAAAAAAAATTAAAAGCACAATAGAAAGGTGTTAAGTGCACATAATTAAAAATGAATGAATCATGATGAGTTCATTGACAAAACTTGAAAAATATGTTCTTGATAATTTACCCATGTTAATATCAAATAACAATGCTTATGTTGATGTATAAGGGGCAAAATTATACACGTGAATCCACAGCTTCAACATTGGACCCCTGACTCCCTGGAGAAATCAGATTCAAGTTTTGCAGTCTTCCCAGGCCTGCTTGCTTCCCATGCTCTGGGATAGGTAAATTCCTCCATCTGTGTTGTTGTTGGCAGAAAGAAGAGGCCCATGGAGCCACATAAAGAATGCAGGTGTGTGCTCTGGAGGCTGGAGCCTGTTCTGCCTTCAGTGCAGATGCCCTCGGGGTGGAGCATGGCCCCGAGCCTGGGAGGAGGCCAGAGACCTGTCACTCCCTGCTTCCTCAACGCTTTCCTCCCCATCCCTCTTCCATTTCAGGTCTCAGGTGTGATGCAGGGAGAACTAGGCCAGTCCAGGCAGCTGGGGACCTAGGGTGCCCATCTTGCACATCTGTAAATCCCAGGGAAGGATTTCAACTTCTCAGACTTGTGTGTGGACCAAACATCTGCTTCCAAACTCCCGTGTTCTTCTTTTGCTCGCATCCCTCTTCCTGAAGTGGCATTTTGAGCTCAGAGATGACATTCCCTTCGACTTCCAGAAGATGGAGCAAAGAAATGGTGAGTTGTGTGGAGAACTGGATTATCCTTACCGTAAGTGGGCGAGGCTGGATATGAATTGCTGGGGGAGCAGCTGTGTGCTGCGGGACCGTGGTTCCTCAATGAAGAAAGAAGGTGGCAGAGGAGGCCAAGGGACTGAGCCCTAGGAGGCACCCTGAGGTGCTCCACTGTTACTGGGCCCTTCCTCTGTACACATGTGGCTTTTCAGGATTTGGATGCCTGGGGTCACCTTCCTTATGTGACTCTCAGAGCTGGCACCGTGGGGTGTTAACGCCCCCACCCTGGGCCTCGGTGCTCTGTTGAATGACAGAGTCTCCTGACCAGAGCCTGAAGAAGGAGCAGCTCTGGCTGTGGAGGGTGAGCCCCTCCCTCCAGAGCCATCCTGGTCCCATGTTTTTTAACAATTGTCTTGACTTTGCCCAGGCACTGGAGCATTTGGGTCTTGAAAGGGTTAAAAGCTGCATGACTTTCCTCTACTCAGAAGCATAAAGTTGCTCAGCATTTCACTCAGAATAAAAGCCAGATTCTTTTCAGTTGCCGGAAAGTTCCCCAGAACTTGATAGGCCCACTGACCCCAGTCACCTCTCTGGATTCCTCTACAGTTTCTCTCTCCTGCATCTCATTCTTCTCTAGTCACGCTGGCCTTTGGCGCTTCCTAAAACATACAAGACACCTTCCCATCTTCTGACCTGTTGTCCGGCTCTGTCCTCTTTCTAGAACAATGTGTTCTCACTGATTCCTTGGATAATTCCTTCACATCCTTTAAGTCTTTGCTCAGGTGTTTCTTTTCAATGAAAACTGAACAGTGAACACTCTGAACAGTGTCAATAGTGCTGCTGCTTGCATTGTCAGCCGTGCCAATACTCTGGATCTTGCTCCAGATTTCATTTTTCCACTGGACACATGACCTTTACATTTATAGATGACATAAGTCTGTATTGTGGATTGCTGAGTCTCCAGCTCTTACGTTAGGGAGAGCTTTGATTTTTTCAGTTATATATCCCAATTACAGGAAGATTGTCTTACATATTTCAGCTTATCTGATTTTCTGTTTTTTCATTTTTGTTTTCTAATAAATAGATTTTCTTTTTTAGAGCAGTTTTAGGTTTACAGAAGAATTGAGTGGAAAGTACAGTTTCCATAGTAGACCCCTATTCTTGTCCCCCTACTTCAGTTTTTTCTACTATTACATCTTGTATTGTTGTTGTTAGGTGCCGTCAAGTTGGTTCCAACTCATAGAGAACCTGTGTACAACAGAAGGAAACACTGCCCAGTCCTCAGCCATCCTCAGAATCGTTGTTATGCTTGAACCCATTGTTGCAGCCACAGTGTCAATCCATCTTGTTGAGGGTCTTCCTCTTTCTCGCTGACCCTGTACTTTACCAAGCACTATGTACTTCCCCAGGAACTGATACCTCCTGATAACATGTCCTTCTAAGGAGCATTCTGGCTGTTATTTCTTCCAAAATAGATTTGTTCGTTCTTTTGGCAGTCCATGGTATATTCAATAGTCTTTGCCAACACCATTATTCAAAGGCATCAATTCTTCGTCGGTCTTCTGTATTCATTTTCCAGCTTTCGCATGCATACGAGGCAATAGAGAACACCATGCTTGGGTCAGGCGCAGCTTAGTCTTCAAGGTGACATCTTTGCTTTTTAACACTTGAAAGAGGTCTTTTGCAGCAGATTTGCCCAGTGCAATGAGTTGTTTGATTTCTTGACTGCTGCTTCTGTGGTGTTGATTGTGGATTAAGTAAAATGAAATCCTTGACAACTTCAATCTTGTATTAATGCGCTAAACTTGTTACAGTTGATCAATCAGTGTTATATTTTAATTGACAAAAATCTATAGTTTACATTAGGGTATATTTTTTGTGTTACGCCTTTTATAGTATTTGACAAATGCATAATGTCACGCATCCACCACTGTTATATCATACAGAATAGTTTTGCTTTCCTAAAAATCCCTGTGCTCCGCTTATTTATCCCTTCCTCTTCTCCCTGAAACTTGGCAACTGCTAGTCTTTTTACTGTTATATACTTTTCCCTTTCCAGAGTGTTATAAAGTGGAAATCTTATGTAGCTTTTTTTAGAGTGGCATCTTTTACTTAGCAATATCCACTTAAGGTTCTGCCATATCTTTATATGACTTTTGATAACTCATTTCTTTTTATTGCTGATTAATGTTTCAGTGTATGCATGCAGCACATTTTGCTTATCCATTCACCTATTGAAAGGCCTCTTGGTTGTCTCCAATTTTTGGCAGTTATGAATAAAGCCGTGAGAAATATTTATGTGCAGATTTTTGCATAGGCATAGGTTATCAACTAATTTGGCTAAATATCAAGGAGTACGATTGCGAGATCATATGGTAAGAGTATGTTCAGTTTTGTAAGAAACTGCTAAACTAGGTGTACCATTTTGCATTCCCATCAGCAATGACTTGAGAGTTCCTGTTGCTCCACATCCTGGTGTTTTCATTTGAGTGCAGGTTTTTGTTTTTAATTTTAAGGGAGTTGAATTTATCCATTTTATTCCGTCATGGATCGTGCTTTTAGTGTTATATCTAAAAATTCATTGCCAGACCCTGCATCTCCTAGGCTTTCGCCTATGTTGTTTTCTTGGAACTTTATAGTTTTTCACTGATACTTAGGTTTTTGATCCATTTTGAGTTAATGTTTGTAAAAGGTTTAAGAACTCTCTAGGTTTCCTTTTCTTTGTTAATGAGTGTGTAGGTTTTCCAGCACCATTTATTGAAAAGGTTATCCTTTCCCCATTGAATTGCCTTAAGTTCTTACTCAAAGATCAGATGACTCTACTTCTGCCTGAGTATTTCCAGGCTCTCTCTTCTCTTCCATTGATCTCTTTGTTCTTTTGCCAATATCACACTCTGTTGATTACTGTAGCTTCAGAGTTAGTCTTGAAGTTGTGCAGTGTCAGTCTTCCAACTTTGTTCTTCTTCAGTATGGTGGTGGCGTTTCTGAGCCTTTGCTCTTTTCATGGAGTTGTTAGAAAACGTTTGTTAATTTCTACAAAATGACTTGCTAGGATTTTGATTGGGATTGCATCGAATGTGTAGATCACTTTGGGAAGAGCTTGCATCTTAACCGTATTGGATTTTCCCATGCATGGAATAGCTCTCCTTTTATTTAGACGTTTGAATTCTTTCATCAGAGTTTTATAGTTTTCTTTATAAAGCTCTTTTGCATTTGTTGTTTTATATTTATAGTGTTTAATTTTAGTTGTTGTTACTAACGTAAATGCTATTGTGTTTTTGATTTCAAATTGAGAATGTGTTTACTGGCATATAGGATATCAGTTGACTTTTGTATATTAGCCTTTTATCCTGCAACTTTGGTATGATCCATTATTAGTTTTGTGAGTGTTTTTCTTGATTATTTGGGATTTCCTACATAGATAATAATTTCATCTGCAAAGAGAGAGAGTCTTTAAAAGCTGTATACTTTTCTTGTTTTATTGCATTTCCTAGGACTTCCAGTACAGTGTCAAATAGGAGTGGTGAGTGGGAACATCCTTGCCTTGTTCCTGATCTTAGCAGGAAAGCATCTGGTTTGTTGCCAATAATTATGATATTAACTCTCGGTTTTTTTGTAGGTATTCTTTACCAAGTTGAGGGCATTTGTTTCTTTTCCTAGGTTGCAGAGCACTTTTATTCTCAGTGGGTGTTTGATTTTGTAAAGTGCTTTCTCTGCATCTATTGATGTTCTTGTTTAGCCTGTTGTGAAGGATCACATCAGTTGATGTTTTGGTGTTGAACTAGTCTTACCCACCTACAATAAATCCCACGTGGTCATGGTGTGTAATTCTTGTTAGACATTGTTTGATTCAATTACCTAATTTGTTGGGGGTTTTGCATCTATGTTCATGAGAGATACTGGTCTGTAGTTTTTCTTTCTTTTAATACTGTAATATCTTTGTTTTGGCATTTGAATTACACTGTTGTTTGGTGCCGCCAAGTCAGTTTTAACTCATAACGATCCTATGTACAACAGAACGATGATACTGGGTGATGCTGGCCTCATAAAAGTTCGAAGTATTTGCTCTGCTTCTGTTTTCTGGAAGAGAGAGAATTTAGTATACTTTCTTGATTAAATGATTGGTAGAATGCATCAGAGAACCTATCTGAGCCTGGTGCTTTCTCTTTTGGGATGTTTTTCCTTATTGATTCAATTATTTAATACCTATAGCTTTGTTGAAATGATCTTCTTGTGTACATTTTGTTAAATTGTTTCTTACAAGGGATTGGTCCCTTTAATCTAGCTTATCAAGTTTATGAGCATAGAGTTGTTCATAATATTCTTTTCCTATCCTTTTAATGTCTGTGGGATCAGTAATGATGGCCCCTCTTCCATTTCTGATATTAGTCATTTGTGTCTTCTCTCTTAACAGTTTATTTTTTCCCAAATAGCCAGTTGTTGATTTTGGTGACTTTCTCTGTTGATTTCCTGTTTTCATTTTTGTTGATTTCTTCTCTCATTTTTATTATTTCTGTTCTTCTGCTTACTTTGGATTTAATTGGCTTTTCTTTTTCTTGTTTCCTAAGACGGAGTCCTAGGTTACTGATTTTAGATCTGTCTTTTCTAATCCGTGCATTTAGTGCTGTAAATTTCCCTTTCAGTATGGCTTTCTCTGCATCCAAGAAATTTTGGTAAGATGCATTTTCAATTTCACTTAATTCTTTAAAAGTAATTTGTAATGTGTCTAGGGACTTCTTTGTCCCATGTGTTATTTAAAAGTGTGTTGTTTAATCTCTATGTATGTTGGGATTTTCCAGCTTTCTTTCATTGATTTCCAGTGTAATTCCGTTGTGGTCTGAGCACATACTTTGTGTGATTTCTAATCTTTTAAATTTGTTAAGTTGATCAGATTTTCAACATCACTTTGTGATAGTTTCGGCAGGTAGTGTGTTTCTAGAAATTTATCCATTTCCTGTAGGTTATCAAATTTGTTGGAGTATAATTTTTCATAATACTCTGTTG